CAGTATATATTTTTAAACAAACTGGCCGTTTCCCCCCAAAGGCAGGGTGCCCCAAAAAGAAAAAAAAAATTTTCCCTTTTTAACTTTTAGAAATACTACAGGAAAAGGGGGTTTTACTAGCCCCTTGCTTTTGGCATTTTGTCGCCAAGATGTAGCAAAAAAGGGGGCCCTTGCTTTTTACTTTTCTCGGGTTCTGTTTCCCCTGGCCAAAGAGCATTTTTTTTATTTTATGCTGTTTTATGTACGCCTGTTTAGTTTACCTGTGATGCACAACTTATCCCAGTTTATCGCCCCAAAGTTTCATTTGGGAAAACCAAATGAACGGGGCCAATTTTTTAAATCCAAGTCTTTCCTCTCAACCCCAAAACTGAAATTGTAAAATATGCCCAAAAAATAAACAGGGGAAAATCATCAGTTTTTTTGAATTTTTTTTATGTTTTTCTAACTAAAATAAGTGGATAATTTCATCAGTTTTAAGGGTAGAGGGAAAGGCTACGAAATAAAGTCCGTACCTGGTAAAATAGTAAAATAATCGTTGTCAAAAAGGGAAGGGCCAACCGGTACCAGAGTGCTTAAAAAATTAATTTTACTGTAATTTTATACGCACAAGTTTAATATCTGAAGAAAGGGAATTCCCGAAGAAAAGAAAATTTAAGAAAAAAATAAAGAAAAAATTTTGGGGACTGGAGAAGGGGTTTGTTAAGGATTGAAAAATATATTATTACATAGCAAAAAATAAAACCCATGGGGAAAAAAGCCCCCAAATTGGGAAAAATTTTCAAGTTAGAAACTTATAATTTTTAATACATGTATGGGGAACTTGAAAGAAAAAAAAAAAAAAAAAAAACCTTAAAAAGTTTTGGGTGATTTATATCACTTGCAATTTTCCCAGTAAAACTTTTTGAAGCTACCCAAACTATTTTGAAAAAGGGTTCTCATGTCAGGCAAAAAAAAATTTTTTTTTTTTTTCTTTTTCCCCCAAGGGGTACCCTTTGATGTTTTTTTTAAGAAAAATTTCAATCATTTTATCTATTTTTTTTTTTTATTTATTGACAGGTTGTTTCCGGGGAAAAGCTAAAGCAATTGGAAATTTCAAACTTCAAAAAGTCAGCAAATTGAGAAAATTTGGTTAAAGGTAAGTTTTTAAATTTCAATTAAATTTCCCAAGTTTTTTTCTTATAAGGGTTACAAGGGGGGTTTACGGGTTTTGGGTTATTTGGGGTTTTTATTTTTTAAAAAAATTTCTAATTAAAAGGGGGGCCCACAGGAACCAAAGCGGGCTAGGCTTTTTCGAGCAGACTTAGATTAATTTTAACTTTAAATCCTTACAGTTTTGGGTTTAAGGCAAAGTGCTACATCATAATTTGTGATTTTTAGAAAATGGGGAATCTTTTTTTTTTGGCAAAATTTACAAAGTGTCTATATTGGAGTATCATAGGCAAAATTAATGACAAATTAGGATTTAAATTTTTTTAAGATTAAAATTTTTATCTCTGGGTTTATAGTCAGTGGGGAGTGAGTGAGGGTAATTTTTGAACCACCAGGTGGTTAACAAATTTGTTTTGTTGTGGGGGTGGGGATCAGGGGGATAAGATGTTTTCTATCTGTATTTTTTAAAATGGGTGAAAGTGTCTGCAGTTTTAGAGTTTTCAGGTTTGGGTTCCAGATTTTTTGGGGGTTTGAAATACATTTAATTTTTTTTAAAGGTTTTTGTCAAAATGGGGAATGTCATAGAGATGATTTTGTCTGGTTTATGCCCGGGGAACCTGTCCCCAACAAACAAGAAAAGGTTTTTTTGGTCAAGGTTTAAAATTGGAAATTTTAAAGGGCCCGAAAATGTAGATTGCACATAGAAAATGATGGGAGAAGTGAACATTTAGTCGTACATCGTAAGTGATTGGGGGAATGAACAGTCCCTCAGTACAGCGTAAGTGTTGGGGGGAAGTGAAAAAGCCACTCGTACAAACAGTAAGGTTGGGGGAAGTGAACAGTCAGTCCGTACATCAGTAAATGTTTGGGGGAATGAAACATCAGTCAGTACATCAGTTAAATGGGGGGAGAAGTGAACAGTCAGTCATACAATTTAGTAAGTGTTGGGGGAAGGAACGCCACTCAGTACACAGTAAGTGTTGGGAGAAGTGAACATTTCCCCCAGTACAGCAGTAAGTGTTGGGGGAAAATGAACTTTAAATCATTTCAGCCGTAAGGGGTTGGGGGAGTTAAATTTTTAAAACCCGAAAAGCGTAAGTGTTGGGGGAAGGAACAGTCACTCGTACAGCGTAAGTGTTGGGAGAAGTGAAAATTTAAAATCAGTTAAAGCAGTTTAAATGTTGGGAGAAGTTTAACATTCACTCCGGACAGGGAGTAAGTGTTGGGGGGTGAACATTCACTCAGTACAGGGAGTAAGTGTTGGGAGAAATGAACATTTCCCCCGTACAGCAGTAAGTGTTGGGGGAAGTGAACATTCACTTTAGTTAGCCCGTAAGTGTTGGGGGAAGTGAAAAATTCACTCAGTAACCCGGGATTTGTGGTTGGGGGAAAGCGAAAATTCACCAGTATAGCTTAATTTTTGGGAGAATTAAAAATTCACTCAGTATAGCAGTAAGTTGTTGGGGAAATTTAACATTCACTCAGTTTTAGCAGTAAATGTTGGGGGAAGTGAAATTCACTCGTAAAGCAATAAGTGTTTGGGGGGAAGTGAACATTAATCAGGAAAGCAGTTTTGTGTTGGGAGAAGTGAACGTTTTACTCGTACAGCATAAAATGTTGGGAAAAAGTGAAAAATTTTCTCACCCCGTAATTGGGGAAGCGGGGGGCTGTCCTGGGAGAAGTAAAGGTAAACGGGGGTTTCTTCCCTTTGGGGAAAAGTAATGGGAAGCTGGAGGTGCGTCCTTTGGGGGACAGGAATGGGAAACGGAGATTTTGTCCAGGTGCGGGAAATTTTTTCGCAGGAAGGAATACTATAAATGACCCCATAGGGGAAAAGCCCCTAGTGAGGAAGCAAGTGTTTTCAAAGAAAATTAAAAACCAATATTGCAAACTAGAAATTTCCACAGGAAATAGCAAAAAAGAGGACTTTACTAGCAAAATGAGGATATATTACCCCAAAAAAACCAAATGGTGGGAGCTCCATTGTTGGTTTCTAGGGAGGGGTAGGAAAAAGACGGGAAACATGCCCCAAAAAAGGGGAAAACGTCCCCAGAAACCCAAAGGGGAAACGGAAACCAACCTGTCAATTTCATGCCCCTTGGTTTTTTGCCCGACATGGGGAAAACGGAAAAAAAAGAAAGGAAAGTGGGAACTATGACCACCCTAAAAAAATTCCATGCCCCTATGACAACAGGGAAAATGCAAAAATCCCCTTTCCCGTAAGCTTTTTTTACCCTGAAAAAGTGGGACCCCCCTTTTAGTACAGGAAAAACGGGCTAAACTTTTAAAATTTCCAGGCACACCCTCTAAAGGGAAAAAAAAATACAAAACATCCAGGCCATGGGGAAAAACCTTTGGGGAGCCACAGGGCACTCAAGAGGGAGGTTTTTTGGGGTCAGGAAGGAAAAAAAAAAAATGGCAGAAATAGCAGAAATCGTACAACCCAAAAACCCTCCCTTCCCGGAGTGGAAAACCCCAGGGCGATGGCCCCCCACTCCAAACCAAAAAGATACAGATCTAACCGGAAAAAAAAAACCCCCCGTACCAAAAAATACCCCCCAGTTTTGTTTACATTCTTCTTGCAAAATATAAGGGTCTAAAACCCGCAACAAACAACAAAATAAATTTTTATCCGTGGGGCTTGCAGAGGCAAAAGGGAATGTTCGCGGGTTTCACTGACACCCCACATAAAGGAAACACTTGGGCAAAGAAATATGGATCCCAGGTTACAACCGAACAAATGTGACGAGTGAACAGGCAAAAGGGGGGGGGGGGTTTTTCCCGTACATTGCAGAGTCACTTGTTTGCACAAAAACTGCTAAATGCCTCAAAAGATGTGGGGGAAGTTTTTGCAGTAAAGGTCGAAACCAAAACCTAGTCCCTTGTTTGGGAAACTACAAGCCTCCGGGTGCAACATCCCCGCAATTCCGGAAAAGCTTTTTAAAAATTGACCACTGTCTGGAAAATTTTTCCGCTCCGCCCCCAAAATCCCTTTCTCCCGGGGGGGTTTCAAATAAGGGACCTAAAATGGAGGAATAAAACAAAAAAATATTGTTTTCAGAAAAACACCAGGAGGGACTCTGATGAAAACTCACACTCCCCACGAGCTTTTAAATCTCTGCACAAAAAATTTAATTTAAACCCGCAAATAAAAGAGCCCACTGCTGGAGAATACACTAGGGCCCATCTTCACTAAAAATGTGGAAACTGATAAAAAAAATGTCCCCTATCCCAAAAAAAATAAAACTAGATCACAACAAATTTGGGGCAGGGCATGTTGGGGTGGGGCCCCAAACCCAAAAAAAAGAGACTTTCACGAGGGGAGCAATTTACCAAATTCAACTTCAATAACAAAAAAATAAAGTTGGGCCCAAAATAAACCCAAATCCTAACCCAATAACTGGGAAAAATATTCTTTTGCAAAAAACAAACCCCAACTTTTCCCAGAAAAAATTAACTTGGGGGCACTTGATGTATGCAAAAAGGCTTTTTCCTCAAAAAAAAGGGGAGTAATGTTAAAAAAAAAAGAACAGGCGCTCCCCTTTTCAGGCGACGGGAAAAAAATTTAAAAAGCGGCTAAAAAAAGGTCAAAAAATTGAAAAGGGGTAGGGGGGAAATGGTCAAGAAAAAGCAAGCATCGAATCAAAACTAAAGGAAACTTTAAAGGGGTCAGGAATTTGCCCGGGGAAAAATAAAAACCATAAAGAAATCCCAAAGAAAAACCCCAAAATATTTCTTCTCCTATGCCCCAAAACAAAGTCGAGAACAACGTCCAGTATTTGGGGCCCCCACTTCAAAAATTTAATTTTAAATTCCCAAAATTTATTCTCTATAAGGAATACAATGCTGAGTTTACAGAAATTTGGTTATTGTTTGGTTTACATGTAGTAAAATTGTGATTACAGAGTATACCACTAGAACGCTTAGCATGGCTAGGCATTTCGGGCATACTTAGTTTTATTCTTAATTGTAAAATATTACAAATTATGAGGTAAGTTGGTATTATGGCTAAGTTTTTTTCTTGGAGCTTTGACTATTACTGTAAATTATGTTAAGATGTTTATCTTCTGCACTTTTTCCTGGTTATTTTTGCTTTTCCACAATTTATGTTATCTACCCAGCGTTAGGTGATGATTGTTATTCCTAAAATTTAGGATATGAAGGCCTTAATCAGTATTTCCACAATCATTTGTTTCCTTCCACAACCTTTGCCTCTAACAGTTCATAGTTTCAAGCCCAACAACACCCTCCACTGAACTAGATGGATCACTTACACTAGCCCTATACAAGAATACCCAATTCCTAGCATACATGCCATTTCTGCCATAGAAGTAGTTCCAGTTGTCAATGAATGGTACTGCATTATTCTTACAGTATCCTGCCACAATTAATACCAATTGCTCTGGACAGCTATTCATTTCCATCATTCCTTCTAGGCAAAATGCCACATATAACAGTTCACCCTCCTTTCTTCCTAACTATATCTATTGCTGTCCTATATTTGTTGTACCTAAATCTTCACTTCCATACTTGCTGACATCATTACCTCCAGCACTGAGGCAGATAATGGGATTTATCATATTACTGTTTGTGATGTTATGACGGCTAACAATATCATCCATCCTGGCCCCAAGAAAGCAATCCCTCTGTCTCTTACTCCTGTCCTCCAAGCAGAAAGCCTTTTCCATGTGCTTAATCTGTCCCCAACAAGCACAATGTTCCGACCTTCCTTGATGTAGTTCGTCATGTCGTTCCCCATAGTCGACTCACATTTGTCAGGCAGCACAGAGAATGGGTTGGAAGTTTCCACAGAAGTCTCCTGGATCTTCGTCGTTTCCACATTTCCATCCTTCCTCTTTATCTTCAGCTTCATTCCATTCTGGAGATAAAGATCATGCAAACTGAGTCATTTGAATTGTGATATCTACACATGTCTGACAGAAATAATATGGACTGAGTGACAATGAATGGGTTTCCTGGGTATCCTACCTTGTTAGCAAACAGTTGATGCGATAAAAAAAATGTTTTACTTGTAATATTGAGTTATTATGCTTTATTGATTTAACTACATAAACCAAATAACTATTATTCACAATTGATATCTTCTAATTTTTCTGATTGAGGTTTTTCTCAATTGCATCAGTGGCACGGATTCAACCAGCTGTCTTACAAGTGGAGGTTCATGCATATCACATGCAGAAAAATTTGAGAGGTGTATGTCAGAAGTTTGGAATCCCTGTTTGTGCTTATACACCTCTAGGTGCTCCCTACCTAAAATTGAAGTAGGTACAGTGTGTATTTATATCTTTTAAAATTGTTATTGTATTGTACTCTTTCACACTTAATAATTAATGCACTGAAATATAGTGAGTTATTTAATTAGATGAAGCATATTGAAATACACTGATTTTTTTTTGTCAATTTTTAAGATAAAAAAATATACTTCTTTCTTTTTAAAATTTCTTGTAAATTGTCTTGCAGAACCAGTGAATATCCGTCTCTTCTGGAGCATCCAGTAGTGACAAAAATTGCCAAGAGCCACAATAAGAGTGCTGCACAAGTTCTTCTACGCCACTTGGTTCAACATGGAATTATTGTTATTCCCAAGCCAGACAATACAGAGCACATTGTACAAAATATTCAGGTAACAGACCCTAAGAACATAAGACTGGTGGAACACTGCAGCAGCTTACTATGAAAAAAAACACTTGTGTACAGTTCAGGTGATTTATTAAAGGAAACGTTACGTCTCAAGTGACAATTAAGCCACTCATTGCTGTATAAAAGTGTCTTTTATCCCAGTTTGTCAGTGACACCATAGGAGTTGCAAAGTAGACCTACTGCCTCTTACATGATGGGTTCTTTTCCATTTCAGTCATTCCAACTTACTGCATTTGAGCAATCCTACTGCAAAGCTACCCAAAATTTTAATTTCAATAACCATACTTACCCCTAATGTGTAAGTCCCACTCAGCCAAGAGTCATCATTCATTTATTTGTCTAGCTTACTTTTTAAACTACTCAAGTTTTAAGCTTCAGTAGCTGTATTTGGCAGATTGTTCGACTCATTCACAACTTTATTACCTAGCCAATAGTTTTCATCATTCTTTCTGAATCTAAACTTATATAATTTAAAAACATTTATCAAGTTTTGTCTTGACTGGATATCCAAAGTATCCGATTTCTCCTTTATTTATTCCCATTTTTCACTTAATGCTTCAATCATGTCTTTCAGTGAATTAATTTTATCATTCTTTATGTTATCCAATGCATTTATATCCATTATGTTGTATGAAGACCAGAACTGAACTTCATAATCTAAGTGAGAACTTACTAAGGATTTATTGATTTTTATTATAATAAAAAATGATGTGCTAAACCTGCCAGAGTCATTCAGCACAGCAGGGCAGGGAAGGGTACAGGGTATTGGTTAGCAAGAGAGAGAGGTAGAAAGGGCTGTGAGGAGTGCTAGAGGCAGCAGCATCAAAGTTTGTGCAGTAAATCAGTTGCTGTCAAAAAGTTATTGAGAGAGTCTGGGTTAAAGGAGGGTCCATCAGAAAGGAGGGAAGATAAAGTAAGTGCAGTAGAGCAGTGACGACGTCAGAGGTAAGTTCTGCGTGCTCGTTGATAGAGTACACTCTCCAACAGAATATGGCTAACAGAAACTGGAACCTGACAATTCTCACAGAGTGGAACAGGGCACCTCGCCATGAGATACCCGTGAATAAGACGAGTGTGGCCAGTGCAAAGATGGGAAAGTGTAGTCTCCCAACCTCGGCAGTGATGGCAAGAAGATGGCCAGAAACCTATACTTGGCTTAATAGAATGCCATTTGTTATGTAGCATATCTGACCAGTGTTGTTACCAACAGTTGCGGTAGGTAGAAATCACTGCAACATTGTCTGTGAATGGAACACCTCTATGTGAAACTGGGAGGTCATGTACTGCTGACCGTGCAGCAGTGTCTGTCTGTTCATTGACCTGTTCGTCAGCATGGCGGGGGACCAAGCAAAAAACAATATCTTTTTGCTTGCTGGAGATACGGTGTAACCAAAGTGGGATACGAAGAACCAGGGGATGAGGTGAATCAAATTTTCATATAGACTACAAAGCACTAAGGGAGTCTGAAACTACCACAATTGGCAACACAGGCATAGATGCAATATATATAAGTGCTATGAGAACTGCATACAATATAGCTGTATAAATGCTAGCCAAGGCTAATAAATGCCCTTGTACGATGCTGTTCAGAAACACTGCTGCAAATTCGACACCATCAGAAGACTTGGAACTACCGGTGTACACTGCAATGACATAAAAATGAGACTGGAAGTGATTAAGAAAAAGAGCGTGAATTAACCGTAGGTATTTGGGCTTTCGCACATGGCATTGGAGAAGAACAGACATGAACCATTGGAACTTCTCAAAGGGAAAAGGAAAAGTTAGATGCTACATGAACATAGAAAGGTGGCAACGGAAGAGAGAACAAGAGTGAATGTAGACGAAGAGAAAAGGGACTGAATAAACAAGGGAGACGAACATTTAAGGAACTTCTACTAACATCCGTTATCATCTTATATGTGGGAGGATTGTGAAGGTTATGAGAGCAAACAAAATAGCGGAGGCATTGAGTATCATGGCAGTCGGCCAAGGATGGAATATTTGCCTCTGAATAGAGGCTCTCAACAGGTGAAGAGCAAAAAGCACTGAGCACTGGTGATGGATGGGATCAAGGCTAGAAAGAGTTGCAGGAGAGGCAGCTGAATATATCAGGTCGCCATAATCTAGTTTCTATGAAATTAGGGCAGGATGCAGTCGAAGAAAAGTTCTATGATCAGCCCCCCATGAAAGATGAGCGAGGATTTTAAGGAGGTTCAGACAACTATGACAAGTTGCCTTCAAGGAGGTAATGTGAGGTTTCCAGGGGTTCATGGTCAAACAGAAGGCTGAGAAGCCTGACAGCATCACGTTCTGGGATATACAACCCATGTAGGTACAATGGATTTTCTGAGACGATAGAACATCTAGTGAAAGTAATTTGGTGTGTTTTAGTACTAGAAAATTTAAACCCATGAGCAGTGGCCCAATTGGAAACATGGTTGACTGCATGCTCAAGACAAACTGCAATGAGGCAACAGTCAGTGCTTGCACAAGCTATAGCAAAGTCATCAACATAGAGTGATGACCAAATATTATATGGAAGAATGGATGCCACATAATTTATAGCAATGAGAAAAAGCATAGTGCTCAGGACACATTCCTGGGGGACACCTTCAGCTTGCACAAAGTCCAGGGAAAGCATATTATTAACCCAAACATGGAAATGTCTCTCAGTTAAGAAGGTCTTAGGTAAAAATGACAGATTACCTCAGAGGCCTAAGGAGTGAGCTTGGGTCGTCAAGATGTTATGTCTCCAAGTTGTCTCATGTGCCTTCTCAAGATCAAAAAAGATGGCAATAACCGAGAGTACCTGCCTGAGGTGTGAAGTATACAATTTGAAACCACAGTTAAAACTGAGGCCAAGAATAGGTGTAACAGCTCATCAACAGAGGATGAAGAAGGAACCTCACTAAAAGCAGTTTGACGTGAGAACTGGTCCCAATGTGCTCAGTCAGATTGCCAGCATGGGTGACGAAGGGGTGGAGAATACGAATGAGAAGTAAGAGGGAGTGGATAATGATTGCTGTCAAGTAAGTCAGGGAGCACAGACCAGGTAAAAGATTGCATCTGAGAAGGAGAGTGTTACAAAAAAACAGGCTGTATACCACTTATTCACCTAGATGCATGCTGCAGTGAAGTACAGTGGACCCCCGACATTCGATGGCATCGACATTCGATAAATTCGACATTCAATGCATTTTAACGCAAAAATTTTGCCTCAACATTCGATTGAAAACCCGACATTCTATACGATTCGTACAAGACGTGTCCATGTGTGGCCTGAACTGCACCGTGTGTGCCAGTGTTTACAAGCCAGCCAGTGTGCGCACATCTAAGGATACATTCGGTAAATTCCATATTATCCATATTATCACTGTTTTTGGTGCTTGTTTCTGGAAAATAAGTAACCATGGGCCCCAAGAAAGCTTCTAGTGCCAACCCTTCGAGAAAAAAGGTGCTAATGACTATTGAAATGAAGAAAGAGATAATTGCAAAGTATGAAAGTGGAGTGCGTGTGTCAGAGTGCATGATGATTTGGTAAAGAAATTGCCTGCAACTAATGGTGATGTGAGTGAATTTAAGGCCAGCAAAGGTTGGTTTGAAAGATTTAAGAATCGTAGTGGCATACACAGTGTGGTAAGGCATGGTGAGGCTGCCAGTTCAAGTCCTAATGGAAGGGGATTCCCATTCTAAACACTAACACCATCCACACTCTCCCCTTCTCCCATCCCATCAATCACCACCAGATCTTCATTAACCCTTTCAGGGTCCGTCCCGTAGATCTACGGCTTTACGGTGAGTGTCCAAACCGTAGATCTACGCCATGAGCTCAGCTCACTCTGATAAACTGTGAGTGGTACATTTGGGCCTAGATATGAGAGAATACATCTATGTGGTATGTGTGCACCACATAAAACAGATCCTGCAGCACACTGTGTATAATGAGAGAAAAAAAACTGAGACCGTGATTTTCGATTAAAACAGCGACTTTGCAGTGTTTTTTTGTATGTTTTTTATAGTTGTATTTGTGATTTCTTAGTCTCATTTGATAGAATGGAAGACATATCATAGAAATAGAGATAATTTTGATTGGTGTTAGCACTGGAAATGGCTTCAAACTGAGCTCAAAGTGGCGGAAATGTTAAATTTTTGCCGATGTTCAAGAGTAAACAAACGACCTCACACGTCTTATACATGCCAGCTGGTGGGTCTAATATA